ATGGTATCAATTAAATTGAAGTAAGAAATTATGGGCATTTTTTGGCATGAGAAACATTCCAGATTTTGGTAGGAACTTGATATTTTACGAAGTTCTTCATGCTTATATGTAGATTGTAGAATCGTAACCGCAACTTCGAGAAGAAATTATTTATAATAAATTTATGATTACTCTATATATATATGTTCCTACATGTTCAAAGTTACACTAGATTCTAAAATGAAATACGTATCTTGAAAATTGAAACACTCCTGTCCAATATTCCTTGAAGATTTTATTTTTTATATTTATACACAGACAAGGCTGCTATTCATCCAATCAATTTCATGCAAAAGTATTTACAAATCTAAGCATAGTATGCATTGCTTCTTTAATAATTTTTTCTATCGTGTGGTGGTACGTTAATTTGAATAACTGCTAAATCTTTCAACGAATTTCAGGTAAAACGAACTTTAAAACCAAGACCTAGCATTAAAATATCACAGAAGTCTGGACATCGTTGTTTCTAATTGAGCTCTAAATTATCTGTAGAAACAGAACCAACAAGCCAGCATTCAATAAATTGAAACAAAACTTCATGATTTATCCTAACTATTTTCCATAGAGTTGTTCAGTAGCGTGAATAATTAAGGCACTTTGTCCTATGTCTTGTCTTCAAACCGCTCAACGGGACTAAATGCTGATACTTTATTAATGAATATCATGACCATCGCCAATAACAGCTGGATTAAAATAATTTATAGTTCTTAAGCCGCAGATGAAGCAATTTATTTCGCTCAAACTGCCCCATTTCATTTCTGGAAATGACAATGTAAATTATTGGTGGCGGAACTGCTAAGACGAATTACACTTGCTAGAAATTATTTTCAAATATATTGGGATTAATGGACACAAATCTATGTAATTAAGGAAAGAGTTTTAATTCCGTAATGAATTTTTTTGATCGTGGTATGAAAGTAACGTAACCTAAACTAGGCCTACGATTTATTCAATCCTGTTTCGTCAGTGAATTTCTGAAATCTCTTCTGCCAAAACTTGGAGGCCTTGGCAAGTTGACTTTGTGGACTTACAGCAGGACCTATATATATTTTCAAATATATTGGGATTAATGGATACAAATCTATGTAATTAAGGAAAGAGTTTTAATTCCGTAATGAATTTCTTTGATCGTGGTATGAAAGTTACGTAAGCTAAACTAGGCCTACGATTTATTCAATCCTGTTTCGTCAGTGAATTTCTAAAATCTCCTCTGCCAAAACTTGGAGGCCTTAGCAAGTTGACTTTGTGGACCTACAGCAGCACGAATATTCAAATGAGGCGGCCACTCGGCAGTGACCTCCGACCGATACTTGCCTGTACTGGCTTTATCAACAACGTTGAGTCAACGCCGATCGAAAAATGAAAATTGTTCCAAGGAGAAACACAATATTGAAGAACCCGCAATTGAGATTGATAACTTAAGCTCTTTTTTTCCATTCTTGCAATCAAAGTCGAATTATAACACTTTAAATGTGATACAATTTAAATGTATTTCATTTCTCAACATCAAAGCTGTTGGTGTAATCAACAGCGATCAGAAATCAGAGGCGAACAGCAAAGCGTTGCACCTTGAAAATCCAACAACTTCAGGCATACTGTCGTCCAAGTGAATTTCTCGCTTCGCTGCTTTTGTTCACAATCGATTCGATATTCTTTTTCATGCGCCTGAGACCAGCGAAGATACTTCATTCAGACGGAATTCCTCTAAAATTTATTTTATTGCCGCTTTTTTTGTCAAAGCGAAGCTGTCATCGACAGCTGCGCTGTCACTGCCAGCAACGGCCAGCGCCGTATTTTTCTTTGCAAGTCTCTGCAGTTGAGGCAAGGCTCTGCGTGCACGGCTGCTTCAGAATTAAATTGCGAATTCGCTATTGTTTACTGACCAGATTGTCCATACTGCGTTCGATATTTACAACACGATATGAGAGTTATATAATTTAATTAAGTTTGTTTGGGGCTATTTTGGTTGTTGTTCCGAGTGTTGTGCTGCATGGCAAAAAACGTGTACACAGATAATTCGTGATGCGTTGTAAAATGATACATTCACGATCGCATTTCCAAAGTAGGTATTATAAGTGATGTATGAAGTGAATGCAAAACAGGATAATTCACTTCTGCTTTTTATGTACATAAGAGATATTTCCGCAAGTAAATTTTCTATAAGATATACATTGAAAACCAGGATTTACACATTTGCACAAATTTGTCCGGCGGCCGCGACATCTTAGACATTCGCTTAGAGTGAAGCCGTTGGAAAATTACTTTGCCAAGCCGCGCTAAAAAGCCAAATGAAATCTCGGGCGCCTGATTATCTGGCGGTCTTCCTATGCAAGCTTTGAAGATTACAGCGAACGAGCGGCTTCATTAATCATAATGTCGATTGTCCATCAGTATTGAAATGACTTATATTTAACCAAATCATTTTTCGCAGAAGCGATCTTTCGAAATTGAAATTTCGGATTCATTTAAGAAAATTTAAGATTATTGGACTGAAATATAAGGAGAAAAATGATGTTCAGGCGGAACAACACGTAATAATTACGCAATTCAAAATAGTTTTTCGTGAAAACTTGAAGCAGAGTTTAAGGTTTGTATGTTTTGAATTTTTTATAACATTGAAGACAAAAAAGTGCGAATCTCTAGCTTTTCCATTACACTTGATGTGTTATTTGAAACCCAGTACATCCGGGAAACGGGTACGGTATATTAATAGACCCGCAGCTTGATGCTCACAAACGAATTTATAACTTAATAAAAGAGAGCTTTCGAAAAATTTGCTACTTCTACTAGACGTTCTAGTCGAAAGGGCGTAAATATTCTACTATAAGTAATAAAGCGTAAGTCTTGACACAAATATCTTCCATTCCTTTAAAAAATGAAGAATTGCGAGAATTTCTGTGACGTAAATCATCCTTCGTGGATCACAAAGATGATCATAAAATGTTTGAGTGTCGAAGCAAAATATCTTACGACCAGACTTGCATCCAACACCTCCATTCGAAGCCTCAAGTGCGCATCCTAAAACACATAGGGCTATAAAATTGTGACCTGGAGAGCGCGTCTGCGTGCTCATGTGACAACCAAAACTGCGCGTCGTGTCCTTCTTGTTGCTGGAAATGGTGCTCACAAAACCCACGTCCCGGAATGTGTCTCTCGTGGATCGCTCGACAGTCGAACATCGAAAAATGGGTCAGCGTAGGGATGGATTTTGCATCTATTTATTTTATTTTAAATCACTACGATGAGATATATTTTATGGCTTGCGGTACTGTATCTTTGTACTCATGAGCATCGAAATGAGAAATATTTTGGTTAGCAAAACTCAAAAACACAAATTAAAATAGTCTGCAAATAAAATACTTTGCAATTTGTGATAATAACTCGTATACGAGACGGTTTTATTAAAAACTTAATAAGGATGATTCTGCGTCACTTTGCAGACAATCATGTAGAAGATTGATACCTTAGAGAGGGCGGGCGCTTCAGGACAAATGTGGTGCTTTATACTTGAGTGCAATTTCCTTCAACTCGAAAACCTATCCATTTATATGAGTATAATATATACACGTATCTAAGGGTGGAAAAATTGTACTGACCATAACGCTTTGTTTGGGCCTCAATTATTTAAATGTATTTAATTGCTATGCGATTATCAACGATGATTACTAAAAAATATAAAAATAAAGAACGGGATTGAGAATTTTAATAGACCGATCTTAGAGACGGTCATTTGTGCTACGGGCCAGAAAATGAAGGTTTAAATTACCTGTCAAATCTTCGTGCGTCAATACGTCGAGTGTGGGCGTCATTATGTTCTAATTAACTCGTATATAATTATCATGTCCTGAACCTTAGTGAACTAAAACCTTAGTTTACTGAACAACACTGAATGGCCGAAGATCAGCCTCACATAATTTTCATGAGTGTATGATGATTCTGATGAAACAATTTACGCTTACGGCCCGTTTCTATCACGACACGTACTACGAAAAGTTAACCTGAACGTAGCAGAGCAATTTAAATCTAATGACAGAGGGCTTGTTCTTTTAAAATACCAATTTATTGCATGGGGAAATACTCATGTCGAAGAAGATGCTAAAATGCCTATAAAGTAAGTCCCACGCCGTAATTGTTCAGCCTAAAACCATGAATTGCATGAACTATTCAGACTTTATGATTGAAAAATTGAATATATATTAAGTATTCGTTAGGCACCTCTAATTATATTAACTTTCTGGTTGGTTAATAATATTGCGACTTGATTAAATGCCAACATTTATGATAAGAATGTACGTCATTCTCGTGGTCCAAACCAAATATTTATTATTGAGCAAATACAAAGGAACAAAAAGCAAATCATGATCCGATGTATCGCAGCTTTGAATACATGCTTCGCTTGCCCAGCCAACGCCATTCAAACAGACAAAAGCTACATCTGCCACGGCCAGAAGATATCGAACTTAGCTTCTTTTGAGAACTGGATTATAAAAATATACTCTTGCGCGAATCCTCTAATCATTTATACAACAATATATTGTTCGTAATATTACTGCCTTAATCCTACGATAAATAATTCAGAGTACGTGTTATTGCTTCTATTTAGACAAGTCATGCTTAATTCTCAGTACCTGTCACATCCACATGAGTAAAATTGAATACTTCGATAGTTTCCCATAGGCAAGAACACTTTTACTTAATCTTTATTCCTTCCTATCATCAGAAGAACTTCTCATTCATATTTCAACAGCTTTAACTTGCATGGCAACATGAAAATTAATTTAATTTACTCAGGAACTTCTCGTCTTGGTTTATATCGTCCGTCATTCAGGCGAGGAGGTCCGGCGCCGCGGCCGCACGTGATCACGACAAAAGGCGGCGCCCTCAGCGAGGCGCGATCTCTTCATTATATTAGAGGGCATCACAGGCGCCCCTCGGCACGTGAGGCCGCACAATGACCCTCAATGACGAGGGTGCCTCTCAGGCCTCACCACTGCACGGCGGTGCCTCTCAGACCTCACCACTGCACGGCGGTGCCTCTCAAACCTCACCACCGCACGGCGGTGCCTCTCACGCCTCAACACCGCAAGGCAGCGACTCTTGGACCTCATCACTGCACGGCAGCGCTTCGCGAGCCTCACCACTGCACGGCGGAGCCTATTAGGCCTCACCCCTGCACGGCGGTGCCTCTTAAGTCTTACCGCTGCACAGCGGTGCCTCTCACGCCTCACCACCGCAAGGCAGCGCTTTACGGGCCTCACCACTGCACGGCGGTGCCTCTTAGGCCTCACCACTGCACGGCGGTGCCTCTTAGGCCTCACCACTGGACGGCGGTGTCTCTTAGGCCTCATCACTGCACGGCGGTGCCTCTCGGGCCTCACCACTGCACGGCGGTGCCTCTTAGGACTCATCACTGCACGGCGGTGCCTCTCGGGCCTCACCGCCTCTCGTTTTCAAACACACGTATAGTGTGATGTCAGGCATGCATTTGATAATGCTGAGAAGTAAACTTTTCAAAAATGTATTCATCGTGTAGGTAATTTGACATGCTTTTCACCCGTTCTCGCGTGTTGTCAATCTGAAAATTATTAATTTGATCTGTTGTGAATAAGCGCTTCTCATTGTTGCAATTTGACTATTCAATCTCTATTCTCTGCGTTATAATTTGACACGAAATGAAATAAGAATTTCCCGCGCTGCTAATTTAACACGTTTTTGAATTTGCATTTCCGGCTCACCACTCTGCACTGTTTGCAACGCGTTCTAATTTGCAGCGTTGCCAACTCCTGCTTGTAAGCTGCTAGTTTGCAGCGTTGTCAGCTTTTTTGTGAGCTGCTAGTTTGCAGCGTTGTCAGCTTTTTTGTGAGCTGCTAGTTTGCAGCGTTGTCAGATTTTTTATGTGCTGCTAGTTTGCAGCGTTGTCAGCTTTTTGTGAGCTGCTAGTTTGCAGCGTTGTCAGCTTTTTGTGAGCTGCTAGTTTGCAGCGTTGTCAGCTCATGTGTTTAAATCGTTACAATTCTCACTGCGTGTTTTGCCTGGGCTAATTAAACACATTATAAACTTGCTGAGTACGTGATTAGTGGCAGCGCACATATCATATATGGCGATAAATGGATGGATAAATCATAAATGAATGACAATTTGAATTGGATAAATTAAATATTTTCTAACTTCCCACACATTCAGAATGATTTTCGCCTATTTTCATGAAAGATTTTATATTTTTTTATTTTACCGATGAAAATGCTTTGCGCGGGTTCCTAAACCTTAACCCCGACTTGAATTTCACAAGCGGCTCAAGAAGCTGCATGAAACTACTGTATTTTAAGAAAGTAATATTTGTGGAACGAATTTGATTTTCAGTCAACTTAAATTTCTCAAGAAACTGGATTTATAAAGTATGCTGACTCACAGCAGGTTTACTAGGACTGCTGATTTTCCCCACAAATAGGCGTGCAGGCACCCGAGCTTGGACTACTGTATCATCAATTGTAATTGACAGCTGGCGACGACGACGTCAGGCTTATATTATGGGGAATATTCTTATAATATTCCTATATGGGAAATATTCCTCCTATAATGATATAACCATGGGGAATGTTCCTCATATACGTTTCTTGAAATTTCATAAAAGAAAGATCCAAGTTTCAATGGGTGATCACTCTAACCACAAGCATAGTAGAAACTATGCAAGCCACTGAAGCTCTGATGAGGGCTTCACAAAGCTGGATATGTTTCTCTACACTCAACAAAACTTGGTTGGGATATTCGAAAAAACCCCCAAGCCCTGGAGTTGAGGGTTCTTCAAACTTTTCAAGATTTCTGTTAACTCCTGCAGTCAACGGCAAGGACCTGGCAAATAGACTTTAAAAATTGCTTACGATGTTTAATTGTCTTTTTTAAAGATGATTTATAAAAAAATAATTTTCATTTATTGATTTAAAGACATAAGAAGTTTTCACAACATACATAATAAGGATTCGACTTTTCTACATGCGTTTTATCAAGATTTAAATGCATGTGTAATGTATCAATACGTTATAAATCTCTAGAGATATTTTAATAAACTATGTGATGACAAGCCACGATAAATTATAAATAGGAAAAATGATTTTTTTCTGTTTCATTTGATCAGGAAGATGACGCACGCTAATAACCATTGAGTAGACAGTGAGTAATGGCTTCATTGACAAATTCATCTAACCGCCCGTCAAATTCTGAAGGCTGATGCAAAAGGCTCAGCAATTAATCTGACGAGGTTAGCCAAGCAGTTCATAGCAATTTTATTGATATTATTAACATAAAAACAGAGACTAGTCTTCCATTTGTTCGACTCTGTATATTAACAACTCGTTGGTAATTTTATTTATCATATTCTCCCCAGCGCATTGCACCTCCAAGCGCCTGTGCAGCGGAAAGCTAATCAGCCTTCAATTCACTGTTGTGACGATGGCTCCAAGCGCCCTGGGGCCATACTTTCAAAACTCGCTAAGTTAACGTAACTACTTACGCTTTATTTTTTTGTCGATGATTGGTGGATTTTGCTTGAAAGGCCGTCAACAATTGGCTAATGAACTTACGATCTCTTAGTTTTTTTTTGAAAATATGGCCCCTGAGAACACTAGTGAAGTGTCACCTGAATTATGGGTGGACGGTGGCTCCCAGCGGTCCCAAAACTTACATAAAACTTACATCCTGAATTTAGGAGAGCTGGCTGTTATTGCCGAACGAATTAAAATTCTCGACACTTTCGATGACCGTGTCTGGATATAGTGAAATGCGCATTGATATTTCCTAAAAGATCCTGATAACGTACTAACAAACAACGTCAATTGTTTAAAATAATATTAATATTTAAGACTAATGTTAATCGCAAGCATATGTTATAAAATTTTGTGATGTTCTAAAAGCAGAATACACAAAGGCATTTTCTCAAACATGTTCCGAGCATTACATCCATTTCATGGAGTCTCACGATACCATCTTTCTTTTTAAAGAGTGACCGAAAGTTTAAAAGTTGGGAGAAAGATTTAAAAATGCATTGGCACTACTACTATTCTTACAGTAAAAGCATTATTCATTCACTTCAATATTGACAGAGTCATGAATATTACCGGTTAACTGTAATAGATTTATGTTTGATGACATCAGTTATTGTCAATGGTATCAGTTATTGAAAAGTCAACATCCTCTCACACATCGCTAGAAAAGACAAAGTAACGATGTTATGTTTACAAACCCAATATTGATGTTATGAAGCCACACGTTCATATCCGTACAAGAGACAACCTTCAGAGTCTCCCAGTGGCTGCGAGCTGTGATGCAACACCCTCAACCCCTCAGGTCTTTTACAAGATCAAAGGCAAGATTCGTAAGAGATTTACTCTCAGCGCTGGAACGACTCGCTCCCTTTAATGCGCGTAAAGTCAACTCTTCACAAAGAAAATAAACTACCACACTGAGATTCTAACTTGTTATAAAAATGCAGGAATGCCATTACAAGTTTTCTGGTACGTTGGCGCCAGTCAGGAACTATAGAAAAATGACTGCCGTTAGATCAGGATCGCAGGAATATCGTGACCGTGGTGTAGCGCGGCGATGTCGATGGAAGTAAAGCGAGGCCTCTCATTTGAATAAGCAATCAGTTGTCTAAACGCTCTTCAATGCCGGCCAAAGATCAGATATTTGCACTCTGTGATGGATCACCGAACGCGATACCGTGACGCTCTATAAAGATCCTATAAACGATTTCCTTTGAGTGAGCATAACTGCCTGCGTCTCGCTCGGAGCATACGGTGAGTAAATGCCTAAAAGCTATGCACTGTTTGCTATTCTGTGGGTCATCCTAACCCAGTTAGGCGCGAAAAATGAGTATTAATGCTACGTGCTAAGTGTGGAATTAGTTGGAAAATTTGAGCCATTCATCTTTCCGAGTGATGCATGCGATGTTCAGTAAGCTAACGGGTGTCATAGGAACTAGTGTTGGAAATTGCCAAATTGTTTTTTTTTGTGAAGTGAGTGGCTTGATGGAATACGTAGGAGATCAAAATCATGAGTTTTCGACAATATTATTTCTTCAAAATAACAGGAATATAATTATGTAGAGCTTAGAAAACAACAAAAAATGATCAATGAGAGAATAATTGGTCATTTGAGTCGGTATTCTGTTTGTGTGGCGCGCCAATCATTCCGCTATTCGAATACGTAGGAGATCAAAAGCATGAGTTTTCGACAATATTATTTCTTCAAAACAACAGGAATATGATTATGTAAAGCTTAGAAAATAACAAAAAATGATCAATGAGAAAATAATTGGTCATTTGAGTCGGTATTCTGTTTGTGTGGCGCGCCAATCATTCCGCTATTCGAAAAGCCATATTTAATTTGGGGCCTGAAAGCCATCGACCGCTGAGTGCTGATAGTTACCATCGCCGATGTGGATCTCATCGAGGCTCTGGTAGGAATACCGTGCCGAGAGCGACCATTCTTCATTAATTTTGCTGGCAGCCTTAGATAAGAATTTCTTTCATGTGTCACATGAGAGGCCTGGCACGCGCTGAAGTGTGCTAATGAGCGATGTTAAATTCTGTCGTGGGTTTCTCCCTCCACTCATTGCCGTGTCATCTCGGGAAGAGATTACTTCAAAGGAACGTGATTTTCATCTCAGGTTCTGTAGGCTAGAAAGAAGCTTGGTGCCTTCCGTGTAAACTATTCCGAGAAACTATCCCTCTGACACCTCACACAAAAGCTACTATGGCTGCTTTAAGAAAATTTCTGAGATCTTCATGGAATGGAGAAGACTAGTCATTCTATATAGAAATTGTTCCGAATAATAAAATAAAGGAAAATTCAGTGATTCGAACAAATGACGAATCATCGTCTTGTGTACAAAAGGCCCTCGTATAGATGCGAAAAATCTAAAAAAAATGGAGGTTATAATTTTAAACAAAAATGATATTGTGAGAAACATGCCTGAGAATATTATATGCTTATAAGTGCTCGCTTTTAGTCATACAAGCTGGTCGGTAATCGTGAGTTATGCTGAGGTAATACACCAAGCAGATAGCGATTTTTATTAATTTTAATCAGCTTTCCACAATTATTCTGAGGATGTACAAAATACTTCATGAGGACCTTGTTTGAAATCTGATTATTCCTAATTTTGACGCAAACTTCAAATGTAACCTGAAGTTTAATAGGCGTAAATAAAATCGGTATCAGTATTAATACAAAAGTCAGTATTACGAACACGATCCGTTCTGGTTCCTGCAAAATTCCACTCGACTGTGTTCATTATTCCTTGTAGAACTCGTTGCCTGTCACCCGCTTGATAGACACGAGGCTGGGGGAATTCATCAGTGGCTGGAAACTTAATTCTTGAGCTATAATGAGGAGCTTCAATTTCTCCCTAAGGAGACTTGAACCGTGAAAAATTAGAGATTTCTGCAATGAATTCCTAAAGACTTATGCTAAG